ACAGAAAGCGTCGAGTTCTTATAAGCAATCATCAGCTTTATGCGAGTGTCGATGGTATGTCGCCGCTGGACGCGCTGCGGCAGGACCGGCGTTGGCATCAAAGTTCAAAGTGCGAGGGATTTTCGAATCGACCAATCACATTGCGTTAAAATTGAATGAGAATCACATTGGATAAACTGCGTGAAATACAATTGTGACTATTTTTCGCCTAAACGGCATTGCTCATCAGATGCTCAATTTTATTCGAGTACCACTTTGTCGAGTTTTTATCAAGTCGACTGTACTCATTTACGGATTGTGCACTTGATCAACCAATTCAGGAAGAAAGGTGAGATGTTTACCAGAGCATGTGTATCTCTCCAAACTGCCAGTAAGTATCTTTTAAAAATACATTTATCCGATTTCGTAGGTCAAGTATACAAACATCAAGAGAGGAGTAGAACGACTGGCCTACATTTTCGCATTCACGCGAGTAAATTGTCTTTGATCGAATATACTTGAAGAACGGTAGTGTTTATCGGAAATCATAGACCACACTCCTACGCTCGAAATAGCAAGATTAATTGGACAAAAAACTGGTTTTGTGAAGTCTCCAGCGCCGATGACGATCCTACAGAGACAGGAGACGTCACTTGAGGACATCATCGACTCATGCCTCGCTGACAGCACAAAAGAGAGATATGAGTCCGGGCTATGACAACTCATTCATCGTTTGGGTCTACCAAAACACACCCGTCAAGGTCGGAACAATTTCAGGATACCGCGCTGCACTCCGGTGGTACTACAAGCGGGAAGGCGTTGCGATGCCAGTGGAGTACGCGACAATGCTCAAAACGATATTCACAGGTCTATTAATATGCATCATCATCGCCTGCACTCATCACACCACGATCGTAGGAATGCACCGTCTAACTGCAACTGACGAGCAGACGTCAAACCTGAAGGACTCTGGCAAACGGCCGCTTGGATTTAGCACGTATGAGGCACTTTGCCAAGAGTCCCTCCGGAGATCCGACAGCGGTTTTGTACACCTGTTCCTTGTGATCTCTTGGAACTTGATGGCGCGCTCTAAACCGACTGAGACGATTCACATTGATCACATTTCGTTTGAAGAAGATGCAATTGGTGTCATGTACTTTAAGTCAAAGACCGATCAGACCGGATCGAAGCGCCGAGACCCTCGACATGTCTACGCAAATCCATCATCACTGGCAATTTGCGCGTTTCTTGCTCTGGGTATGTATTTTGCTTGCATTCCTACTTTGGCTAATGGACCGCTCTTCCCTGGCGCCAACCAACGCGATCGTTTTGGAAAGGCCATGAAAACCTTGGTCAACGCAGTGTTGGGTGAAGCAGAAAGTGGAACAGTTGGAACGCACTCAATTCGGAAAGGCGGCGACATTTGTATGCTCTGGGAGCACAAGCGGACCATCGGTTATCAGTGTGTGCCCCCCTACGGTGCGGATGGACATTGGGAAACGTGGTAGAAAGGTACATGCATTACGAAAAGGCTGGCGACCCGTTTGTTGGCCGCGTAGCTGCAGGCCTCACGCTCAACAGCGCCGACTTTGCCGTGCAGCCTCCCCACTTTGCCAC